GTTTTCGATGATCGTGGGTGAGCTGGGGTCCATCCAGGCGGCACTCGCCGCGGACCCCGCCGGCTGCCACCTCCCCGCCGCCGCGGCGTCCGCCGCGTGCGCCGCGCAGCTTGGCGGCCAGCAGTGGTGGCAGCAGGCGGCGTGGCAGGGGCTGCAGACGCCCGACGTGTGCGAGAGCTTGGACATGGGGGAGACGCGGACGGCTTCTGAGGGGCAGGGGGAGGGGCAGGCGCAGCAGCTGGCCTGGGCGCAGCAGCAGCAACAGCAGCAGCAGCAGCAGCTGTTGCAGCAGCAGCAACAGCAGGAGGAGGCGTTACAGCAGCAGCAGCAGCAGCAGCAGCAGCAGGGTTTGATTTATGAGCAGCAGCACATGCCGTTGTTCCAGTTGCCCACCACGCTGCCACCGCAGCAGCAGCCGCCTATTGCTGCAGACGAGCAGCAACGGCTTGTTTTTGAGCAGCAGCAGCAGCAGCACATGCAGCACATGCAGCACATGCAGCAGGGGCCTCTGCAGGCGCCGCCACCAGGCCCGCACCACATGGGCGCGCCCTTCGCGCCCGCCCCGCACCCCCAGCCGCTGGGCCCGGCCCTCGACCCCAGCCACCCCCTGCACCGCCTGATGGCGCCCGCGGGCGCGCCGCCGCGGTGGCGGCCGCAGCAGCTGCTGCCGCAGCACCCCAGGGGGCAGCTGCACCGCCTCGACACTGTGGACTCCAGCCCTGACGCGCAGCCGAACGAGGAGGGCAGCAGCAGCTGCGCGGCGGACGGCGGCCGCCCGGCGGCGCATGGGCTGTGACGCCGGCGCCGCGCGCGCTCCCCGAAGGGGTGCCCGGCCCAGGCCTTTCGCGCGACGCCCGCGGCCGGCGCGGGCGGGCCGGCGGTTCGTTGCCGCCCCGCCGCCGCCGGTCGCGGGCGCCGTTTTGCTTTCCTGACACATTCCTGTGTTGCGCATTCCTGAAACCCAGCAATGCACGCTTGGAGGTCGCGCCACTAGGGACGCGCCGACTTAAGAAATGGCGCCTCCGCGCCCCGCGCCCCGCCGGTTAGGGCGTGCGGGCGCGATGCCTTGGACTTGGTTTTCGGGGCGTCTGCAAGGGGGTTCAAAAAAGGGGGGTTGTGGGCATCAACAGGCACAACCTACTACGCATTTCCACCTGCGGGACTTTGGAACTCTAGGATTTTGAAACCATGCGAGCCCCCCGCCCTGCACGATAGAGAGCCCCGACCCCGCTGTCTCCCCCCCCCCTCCGCTCGGGGCCCGCAGCCGCAACGGCCACCAGCCACCGGGCGCGCCCGCTGCGGCCCGGCCTGGGCGCCTCCGATCAGGCGGAGCACAGGGCATCCCCCCTTTGGGTTGGGGAGGGGTGGGATTGAGAGGGCCGCGGGCGCGCGAGGGTCTGCCTTGAACGCTGGGGTCTTTCAAAGGGCCTCATCACCACATTCAAATGCTGCCCCGGGTGACCGCACTTCGACCCAGTGCCGCCCCCCAGAAAACGGGGAGATGCGCGCTCCGCGCCCCGCCGGCGCGCCCCCACCGCCTCGGCTCGGCACGCGCTGCCGCCCCCTGCGCCGCGCCGCGCGGCCCCGCCCGGCGCGCCGTCTTCAACCGCAGGCCACTCCTCGTTCCCTGCAAGCAATCCGCTAACGCCTTTGAACTTGACTGGGGGAGAAACCTTCCTGCACCCCTGCTCATCTCAAAGCTCAAAAGAGGACCTCAACCTAACTGCCATTGCGGAGCGCGCGCGACAGGGGCGCGGCGCGCGCTTCGGCAGCGCGCACGCCCATGCCTCGAACCGCAGACAGCGCCGCGGTGCGGGCCAGCGGGCGCGATCGGGGGCTCTGTCGCAGGCCCAGGCCATGCGGGGTGTGCGGGGCACGGTCCGGGGTGGGCCTCATCTCGCGCGCTGCCTGTTATTGTGTTGTTTCTCCCTCTTTGAGAGCCCACTTGCTGGGACTTGACGCGGTCGCGAGGTCGACAACGCCTTTAGCTATCCAAGGCGTCCACCTGTGCCTGCAACGCATGCAGGCGCAGTCGTACACTGCAGGCGTGCGCACGCACGCACGCCGCGCGCCTTCACATCTCATGGTGCGGCGGTTGCATTGTGTCCGGGTGGACTTGCCTGCTCGGCGCAACCGAACATCCCCAAAGCACCTGAATGTTGCAACCAATTTTGGCAGAGATTGCCCGCTGGACACCCGGCCTACGTGCACACTCTCAGCTGCAGGCGTAAAGAACCATATGTGAATTTGGGGTATGCCAGGCGATTTGAGCGAGCCAGCCAAGGAGCGCTGCCGTCGTCGTTCGCTCCCGCAGACCCTAGGTTGTGAAAGCAGCTGCACCACCGGGCTGTTCTGCATGCCGACAGTGCAGCACGGACGCGCACGAGGTGACACATGCAAGCTTCCTCAACGCGTCACCATGGGTGTCTCGTGCTGACGCTGAAATGAGGCATAGAGTGCTGCTGAGGAAGCAAGTACTGTACAGACCTTACAGAAGGAATGTTTGAACGGCGGCAAAGCCATGATCATACACTTTGCTCGCCTCATGCCAGCTTGCCCTGTTGTATCCAAGGTCCGTGCAGCGCCGACCCAGAGACATTCACCGATCCGCCTATGCCTCAAGTAGTCGCTGGCCGCTCAATTGGCCCGAACCGCGCCGGCCGCTTGCTCTTGACCGAGTCAACCCCCTCGCGGCAGTCAGGCCGCTTGAAAAAGGTGGCCTGATTCCGCCGGAGGGCGTCAAGGGCGATTGGGCGGGGGCGCATGCAATGTCAGCACGAGCATCATGAGCACGAGGAAATCATGGAAGGTCAGTGCCACACGCTGCTGCGCTTAAGCTGCTGTGTTGGTTTGGCCAGTGGAACAACGCGTCCCTCAGCTCAAAGATTGGATTGTGTTTAAGCCCGCGTGCTGGTCGGCTTGCAGAGGGCCGCCACGGCCTGATCCCAGCACACCAAAGCCGCAGCAGGCCGCAGCCCGGGCTCCCACCTGCAGCCGCGCCTCCTCCAGGGCCGCCGCCTCCAGCTGCTCCCAGGGCAGCCGCCCCCGCAGCATGCGCAGCGTCGTGGCCACGGCGGACGGGGACGCGGCGGCGATGCGCCCTGCCAGCTGCTGCGCCGCGCCCAGCAGCTTGTCGGGCTCTGCGACCTGCAGATAGGGAGGGAAAGAACACAGAATTCAAACATGTGACAGGGTCCTGTGGTCGTTCGATAATGGAGCCATCCAGGCTGGAGGTTTTTTTGGGCAGGAATGAAAAGGGAGGGAGGCGGCGAGAGGGCGGCGGGCGGGTCGTGGGGAGAGGGGGGCCCTCGCTGTCGGTGTCATGTGCTGGGTGATACAGAGAAACGTGGCGTGACGCCAGGGGTGCCGCGCACGCTGGCCAAAACGGGGATGCACGCCCCTCAAGGCTTGACATTACTCCCCACACCTGCAGCACCAGACCCAGCTCCAGTGCCTCCTGTGCGGTGATGAGGTCACCGGTCAGCAGCAGGCGGCACGCGACCTGGTGGCTGGTCGCGGCCGGCAGGACACAGGTCGACGCCATGCCCGGCGTCAGCCCCAGCCTACGGAAGAGGTTTGCACGCCCCACGTCATGAGCGGGCGAGAGGCGCATGGGAAGGGCGAGGAGACGCAGGCAGCTGCTGCTGCTCGGGGGCCAAGCACATTCCCCCAATTTAACGCCAGCCCTCTTGGGCAGCTGCTGCCCTTCCTGAGCCCGGCCAGGACACACCCGAGCCCTGCTGCCTTTCCAGGCCCCAATCACCTCCCCTGCCATTCCCCAGCAGGGCTACCCCTCACCCCAAAACAACCAGCCCCCCACCCGGGCACCCACTTGACAAAGTTGAACGACAGCTTTGCCGTCGACGAGGCGATGCGCATAACGGCAGCCATGGCCAGCCCCATGCCGCCCCCGACGGCGGGGCCGTTGATGGCGGCTAAGGTGGGGACGGGCAGCTTCCGCAGCGCCAGGAAGGTGGTGTAGAAACCGCTCAGCACCCTGAAGTTGTCCTCCACGTCCCCTGCCGGTGGTGGATGCAAGGGGCAAGAGCCTTCGGCGGCAAAGCCGAGCCGATGCATCGAACCCATCGACGTTTCTGTCGTGGAGGCGGCCTCAAAATCAGTCTCAAACCCATTGACTGACCACCACAGCCTCCACGCACCATGTATGCGGTCCTCGATGAACCCAAAGTCACCTCCAGCAGAGAAGGCACGGCCCTCGCCGGTGATGACCAGCGCCCGTAGGCCTGCCACGGGCGAACGGGAGCGCCTTTGCAGCATGGCGACGCAGGGGGCCGGTGTGTAGGCCGGGGGCTGGTCCTGTCCAGCGACTCGTGTGCAGGCGGGCTGCTCTAGACGGGGCCGGCTCACCCAGCAGTGTCTGGCCCTGCCAGCAGAGTCCAGGGGCATGCTATCGCACGTCGCCGTCACCTCGCACACCGCCCTGGCCCGCACCTTGGTCCAGCACCAGCTGGTCTGCCACCTCCTTGAATGCTGCGGCCATGTCCAAGGTCAGGCTGTTGAGGGAGCCCTGGGGGAGGAGGGCGCGGGTCGGAGGAGGGGGAGCCGCAGTGTGGGGGCACGCCACCTTTGCTGCCGAGCCACGCTGCTTGCAGCCCGGAGGCCTGCCTGCTGGCTGGCTAGACTCTGCAGCTCTGCTGTGCTAAAGCAGCTTTCCTCACGGCATCATCGCCTTAACCAGGCCGTACCGCCGGGACAGCCGTCAACCCGCAGCAGGGGCGCTTCCACAACCCCAAACATAACCTGTGTATTGTTCAATCGCAGCAGGCGCACGCCGCTGTCGCCATCCCCTGTCATGCCGCCGGCATCTTGGCCGCAAGCCAACGGTGGCACGGGCTCCACGCTGATGAGCGGCTGTTTGGCAGCCATTGACAATGCCGCTGCTGCTGCTGCTGACGGTGGCACAAGTATCAGGCGCCGAGACGATCGCGACGGCGTCGTAGGAGCACGGCTCAAGACCCGGGCGGCGGGGCTCCGGCAGGACGATACTAGGCAGCGCTGCAAGACAGAGAACATACAGGCCACTCCTCTGGAGACGAAATGGATACCGTAACTGCAGTCTGACTCACTGCCGGTGACATACCGAATTCGTATGCAAGGAGGACCACACTCCAATTTCGAGATCACCGAGCAGTAATTAAGTCGAAAATTCACGTCTCTGTGATCCGGTGATCTTGTTTCAGTGCAGTGACAATCGTACCGTAGATTGGACGTAAGCGACAGGCACAAATACAAAAGGCGGCAGGAGCTCGTACCGTATTGATCCCGTACTGCGTGGCAAACGAGGGCGGCGCATGCTGCGTGGCGCGCTGCTGCACGCGCAACCTCCACGCCCTCTGTGCCATGATCGTCTGTGCCGCGGTCGTGGGCCCTCAGGTGGGCTTCATGAGCCACCCTGACACATAATTCGGCATTTGACGCAAGCGTAGCTGCCTCGAAGCCTGCAGCGCCGGCCTCAACCTCGAGTGCCACATGTTGAGTGACGCCATAACGTGCGTTGTGTCCGCCTGCGGTGCAGAACAACCCGCTGTTCCTGGAGACTTACGTGCCCGCTGACGACGAGGCCAAATTTCACTGCATCGTGCACTGCTCACTGGACGCCGTGGAGGAGAAGGGTGCGCCGGGGTGGGGTGCGCGGCGGCGGACTGCCGCGTGCTGGGAGGGTGCGGGCTGCGGCGAGGCTGGCGCGGCAGCTGCTCCCGTGGGCGGCGCCAGCAGTCAGGGCTTGCTGGAAGCAGACCATGCAGGACAGACGCTAGCTCAGCACAGGTGTGTGTTCCAGTAATGGCGCGCAGATTGCCGCGTGGGCCCTGCGCGCCCAATGCCTGGCACGTTGGCTGAGTGCGCCTGCGGCCCCTACACAGTCCTGCTTCGGCGCGCCCCCGGGGAGGTGCCCGACCTGTACCTGGGCCTGCTGTACCCAACAGAGGAGTATCGCGTCTATGGGTGAGGCCTGAGGGGCGCCGGGGCTCGCGGGGCTCCAGCAGCGCTGGGCCCGTCGCCCGGACCGCAGGCGCAGGGAGCTGCGCCCAACACGGGCGTCCCACATCGCATTGTGAGGGGCTGCTCCCCGCCCGACCGCCTCGCCAGCCCCTCGCGGTCCTCTCCCCTTTGGAAATAGAAACTTCGCCCCCACACCATCGACTCCATGCAACTGAACCTCAGCTATATAACCAACAGCCACACCAAGTTTGTGGTGGTCCTGGACGAGTTCAGCCCCAGGGAGGACCTGCTCACAAAGGTGAGGGCTGGGCGGTGCATCCATGCCACCCCCCCCCCTTGCACGTTTGCCGAGCGGGCTGCACGGGCATCCCCGCTGCTGCCTGCCTGCAATGCGCGACCTCGCCGCTCACTTCTGACGCGCCATGTCACACAGTGAGCTGGCTTGATTTGAACCACAATCTCGTGGTTGGCGCCGGGTCTTTGCCATCCTTCGTCACGCACACCGCCCCCACCCCGCAGGTGTTCAAGGCGCTGCACAGCGCGTACGTCGACGCAGCCAGCAACCCCTTCTTCACCGTTGGCTTGCCGCTAACGGCGCCCTCTTTCGCGGGGGAGGTGGCCGCGGTAGTGCGTGGATACGCACAACAGCTGGCGCAGCCCTGAGTGCACACCCACAATTCCCCGCTGGCCCGCCTGTCCGGCCTGGACAGTTGATATGAAACCCTTTTTCATGGCCACAAGGTGTAAGTTCACGTCGGCTGGTGCAGCAGGGATATGCAGTGAGCGAATGTGCAGTTTCCATGTGTTGCTTTCAAGGAATGCAGGGCAGAGCAACGTTTTTCTACTGCATCACAGCATGTGCCAGCACTCAGCAGGCCGCGCCGCCCACGCGAGTGAGTGCAGAGAAGTGCAATTCTCTTACTCCCAGTCCCTTAATTCGAATGAGAAGCCCGGCTCGCTGAAGATCTGTTGGCGTCATTGGGGATGAAGCCAGGGAGCGTGGATGCAAGCTGCAGTTGCTGGCCGCCCTTCATCTGTGGCCCCCACTGGCACAAGCTGCCGCCGTGCACAGCAGACGTGTTGTGGTCCAACCGGCGGCTAGGGCTCCCAAACGCAGGCACCTGCTAGCCTAATCACTGTCATCGAGTTCCAGCCCACCCTCCTGTCCCGCCGGTCATTCTTGATTGGCGCTCCTTCCCCCCCTCAAAAGAAAACAGATTGAGCCTCGCTTTGAACCACCGAGCGGACTCAACACTATCCCATTAACTGATAACGCAAAGCGCTGCTCCGAAGCGCACCCGCTGCCGGGCCTGCAGGCACAAGACGGTAGTTGCAACGAGTTCAGCCGCGATCCGATGGCACGGCTAAGCCGGGCTTGCCATGCAGCGGTCGTGGGAGCGAGACACCGAGCGGTCAGGATCAACGGTGTGCGGTGCCTTCAATCAACACTAGGTGATAGGCGTGCGCTCAACATCAACGCTTGCATGGCACCCTCCAAGTTGGCTGTGGCATTTTTGCGGAAGCCAGCCGCGCGGGTGCCTTGCAACATACCATACACACAAGCCAGAGTGAGGAATGGGCGGCCGAGGAAAAGCGAAGCCGTGAGCCGCAACACTCTGGCCCTGTGCCTTGGCATCGGCTCATCACAATACATGGCAGCGGCTGGCGGGGGAAGGACGCAACTACCCTTACGTGCTTGTCTGCGCCCGTCCCGCTCTACTTGCCCCTGCTGGATGACATCCGGTCATCCTCCAGCCGCGCCACGCGGTCCAGCAGCTGTGAGTGGATCAATGCGTCGAACCTGGCATTGATGCCTTGGACGGCTGCGTCGATCTTGGCCTCGAGCCTGGCGTCGAGCTTCTCGATTTTGTTGTCGAGCTTATCGAATCTGTCGCGCGTGTCGGCGATGAAGTCCTTCCCGAAGTAGGCAAACGTCGAAAAGAGCACGCCCAGCAGCAGCTGGCCAGTCACGTTCCACATCTCCGGCCCCCGGAGCTGGGTGCAAGCGGTGGGTGGGGCCGAATCGAGACGGGTGAACAGGGGTCCAGGCACGTGTGGCAGCAGTTCCGACCAATCAAACAGCGCTGGCAACGCCCCGGCGCAGGCCGGAAGCGCCCTCGGCTCGCCCAGCCGCGTGCCCCCCGCCCCCCCCAGCACGACCCACACCAAGCAGGGGTGCCGCAGCAGGCGCCGCGCAGCAGCACCTGCGCAGGGCAGCCCTTGTGGATGGTGCCCCCACCTTCTGGTTGTTTTGCTCTGTCCCTGGTGCTGCGGCAACCCCCCCAATCTGGCGGCGCAGCGCGTGGCGCTGCGCAGGAACCCGCAGCATCGAGAGCATGGCCAAGGTGGCTGCTGCCACGTTGCGATGAAGCCTCTCTGGCTGATTCAGAAGTCAAAACGCAGATGGAGCACAACTGCTTGGACAATCAGCGCAGCGAAAAACTTGCACATGCGTGGTCTCGTTTACATCTCTGAGCGTCCTCAACGTACGATGATTCATGCGAAGATTCAGCGAGTCTCAAACAACGTCACGAAGTCGCGCCGAGGTTTGCCCACAGGTGCAGCGCCTTGGCCGGCAACTGCTACGCAGTCAGCAGGTTGCGGACACGTCGTGCATCCTCCCCATCCTTGCACTCGCTTACACCTTGCTGCTGTGCCTTGGAATCAGCATACGGCCTGAAATCACGTGCTGCGTGCAACAAGGCTCAAAGCTGAGCTCGTAGGGCACCACCGGTCACGCCCACACCTCCACTGGGTGGAACCCCATGCGGCGTTGCAGCGGTTGCAGGAGTTTAGCTTGGTGCACTGCTCCAAGAATCTACCGCACCATGAGGATGACAGTCTCCCGCTGTTTACAGCCATGCTGCTCTCACATTGAGGCTGGCAGCATCACAGCCCGTGCAACAGGCCAGCTATCCGGCCACCTGACTGGAAAAATCAAGGAGTTTTCACGAGTCCTCCCAAAACTGAATAAGAAACATTCTACACAATGCTATGGAAATAACATGTCATAGAGCAAACGTCAAAACAGAGGCTTGTCTCACCCAGGTGTCACAGCCTGCCCTGCAGTCCCCAGGTGTGTACTGCCCCAATCACTGCCGCACAAACGCTCCGCCGAATCCAGATCTGCGGACGCCGCCTCTGCGTCGCGCTGCAAGTCACCCCCGCTCATCCCCGCCGCCAGCAGCGCAGCCGCCGCCGCCGCCGCCCCCGCCGCTGCTGCCTGCGCGGATGCTGCGCAGCGCCCCGCGCCGCACACGGCTGCCGCGAACCAGGCTGCCGCGGCGGCGCCCGGCGGCGCCTGGAAGGGGCCGGCGCCGCCGCAGCATACGCTCGTGAGATCTGGG